CTTAGCAACACCCTGTCTCAAACTAAAAACTAAAAAGGGCTGGGGATGCAGCTCAGTGTAAAGTGCTCCTGGGTTCAATCCCCAGTACCAGAGGCGGGGGAAAAGGCAAGGAGGGGGATGAATAGACTCCATGAGTAAAGGATGAAGAGCAACTACATCTGTGTGCCCCACTTGGTAGCCACTAGCCACATGCAGCTATTGACCACTTGTAACATAGCTATAGGAGAAACTGAGGGTTTCATTCTAATTTTTTTCTTTTGTAGAGCAGATTGACCCCAGGGCCTTGTGTGTGCTAGACAACTGCTCCACCACTGAGCTATGCCCCAGTCCTAATTTTAATCTTAATTAATTTACACAACCACATGTGGACAGAGACTACTGCTTTTGATGGTGCAGTTGCATCGAGTTATGCCACTGAACACCAATGCCACTCTCTCCTTTATATCTCCTGATAGTGAATCCATTTCCAGGAACTATCCCTCCTACCTCCTCAATACTGGTCCGGTCTGGTCCGACTGCTTTCTCTCTCCTGCACCTTCCAGGGGCATGCATCCTTGATTTCTCTTCTGCCTCGGTGCTCCCTCCCCTCTGTCCCTTGTCATCACCATACCCTGCCAATGTCGTCTCCTGCAACGTCTGGCAACTCCATTTCTCTCCCCCACCTCTAATAGTAATGAACTTCATACACGGCGGCTCCCTGCATCCAATCAGGGTGCTTCCCCTGCCCCATGCGCTGTTAAAAATCCTCATTGGCTTCCCAAGTTTTATTAGGATTAGTCAAACCCCTTCCTACAGGGCCTAGAAGCTTCTCCTTGGTTCGACTCCTTCTCACCTCCAACCCCTGAGTCAAACCCTCCCCTTCTCCCTTCTTTTCCTTTCTCACCCTCTCTCTCCTTTTAGTAAAAGGCTTTTATGGTATCCTTTTAGTAAAAGGCTTTTTGATGCGATTCTCCTTTGGAGCAGCAGCTGCAGTTGCAATTCTGCTTCCGTTTGTAGCGAGCTGACTGAGGGGCTCCCCCACCAGATTGTCCGCAACAGGAGAACCAGCGCTTGGTCTGCTTTGGCTCCAAATATGATTTTGCTGC